AAAAGACTTGTTATTCAGCCCATCAACACTCCACTCACACTTTCTCTACCTATCATTTGACACTCTTGGAATTATCTTGCCATTATCCTCCACCCATAAATTCTGCGGCTGTGCACTTCCCTCCACTTCACCTGACTAAAGAGCGGTGCTCTGAAGCTTGTGTCTTCAAATAAACCGTTCTGAGGAGGGGGTCACTGGACCTGAAATGTTAACTCTTTTTTCCTTCTCAGATGCTGCCAGACCTGCTGAGCTTTTCCAGCAACTTCTGTTTTGTTTCCTGGTTTACAGCATCCGCAGTCCTTTTGTTTTTTCTTCAAATAAACCTGTTGTACTGTAACCTGGTATTGCGTGACTTCTGATTTTGGCCACCCCAGTACAACACTGGCATCTCCACATCATGGTGGACAGGCACTGGGGGGTCAAGAGGTGCGTTATTCTGTACAGGATTCCCAGCCTCTGACCTAATCTTGTCACCACTATTTATATGTTTCTGGTCAATGATAATGCCCAAATGTTCAGAGTGGGTGTATCAGTGATTGTGATGCAATTGTACATCGAGGGGTGGTGATTAGATTCTGCCTTGTTGAGAGATGGTCATTAGTTGGTACTTGTGTAATGTGATGATTACTTGCCACAAACCTGGCTATTGCCCAGGGTCTAATTCTTTAACTATACATTTATTTGTTACTTCATTGGCCTTCTGCAAGAGGGGACAATACAGTGGTGATGTTTTATATCAGGTGAATCTTAACTATAGAGGGAATACCGTTTATATCTTTTAACCTGTTACACACCATCAACACTTGTAGGTCTGTTAGTATCTTCATTAGTAATAGGACCAATAGATAGCACACTGGATTGGCCATTGCTGTTACTCTCCTGGGCACTTCTTTGACCGGAACAGATCTAAATTCAAAGCAAAATGTTCATGTTATTGGGATATTCCTGGCCATCAACCTGAACTTGAAATCACTCTAAATAGCATAACCACCAAATAAGTATTTAGATGTGCAGTTGCAATGCCAAGTTTCATAGAATCTCTTCAGCATGGAAATAGGCTGTTAGCCTATTGAATCCATACTGACCCTTCAAAGATCCAAACCCTACCCTATCCCACTGCATTTCCCATGGCCAATCCACCTAACCTGCACATCTTTGGACTGTGGGAGGAAACCAGAGGATAAGGGAGAGAATACACAAGCTCCACACAGACAGTTGGCTGAGAGTGGATTTGAACCCAGGTGCCTGGCACTATGAGGTAGTAGTGCTAACCACTGAGCCACAGTGCTGCACATGCAAAGCTAAGGCAAAGAAGGCTATATGCCAAGTGCTGGAAAATGGTATTAGAATAGCCTTCCTGCTCCTCTGATGCTGCTTGGCCTGCTGTGTTCATCCAGCTCTACACCTTGTTATCTTAGAATAGTGTGTGGTTGTTTTTGATTGGTGCAGACTGCGTAGGTCGGAGGGATCTGCAGCACAGTGAAAGACCCTAGGACTCCATGAAAGACAGCTGTACGAATAACAGTTCTTAGCAAAGGATTGAAACGAGATGGACTGAGAATTTTAAAATGAAACATCTCCTGAAATGAAGGAAGTAGTTCTTCTAGGAAGGAAGTAGGTGGGAGTTAGGACATGGAGAGAGGAAGACCATGTCATCATTGAAGACATTTACACTGAACACATGACCAAGGAGCTGGAGGTGGCCACTCTGCCCCTCGAGCCAGCTACCCGATTTGATAAGCTCACGGCTGATCTGATTACTCCACATTCCTGTTACCCACACCACCCACCACCTCCCCGCGCCCCCCCTCCCGCCCCCGCCCCCGCCCCCTGATAATCTTACACCCCCTTACTAATCAGGGATCTAACCCCCTCTGCATTAAAAATTATTCAGGGACTCTGCTCCCACTCCCTTTTCAGGAAGAGAGTTCTTAAAAACTCACAAATATATATTTCCACTCTTTTCTATTTGAAAACAGGCAAGCCCTGATTTTTAAACAGTGACCCCTCATTTTAGATTCTTCCACAAAAGAAAACATCCTCCCAACATTTGCTTTGAACAAAACCCCTCAGCATCCTTTACCTTTCAATCAAGTTGTCTCTTACCCTTCTAGACTCCAATAGGTAGAACTCTTTCCAACTCTGTCCAAATCTTTCCTCATAAGAGCCATTCCAGATCTCAGTGTTCTCTGAATTGCCTCCAACACACAGACATCAAGACAACACAGGCAACCAATACTGTACAACTGTACTGTGACTTAATAAGCCTTTACTCCTGATGCAGTGTCTGATGCATAACCTCCCAACTCTCGTCTTCAATTCCCCTTGCAATAGATGATAACATTATTTTAACTTCCTGGATTACTGTGAATTCTATCAAAGTGGATCTACCCTGTGTCATTGGCTGAGATTATTGTAAAACTGCAGCTATATTTCATGCTCAGTGTCTGCTTCCATCTAAAATACAGTGATTTACCTTCGATTGTAAGCTCAGTACACCCAGGATCCAGAGAAAGGTTCTTATTTACCAAACAGTAGTTTGCTAAAAGTGACAAGAGCTGAGTAATTCTGGGAAAGTCTGTGGTGTTTGTTAACCACCCCACTAAAAGATAAAAGTATTCACCAGCCCTTTCAGCCCCAGATGCACATAGAAACATAGAAAAATGGTGTAGGAGGAGGCTAATCAGCCCTTCTAGCCTGTACCACCATTCAATATGATCATGAAATCTCAGTATCCCATTCCTACCCTCTCCCTATGCCCCTCGATCCCTTTAGCCACAACGGCCATGTCCAGCTCCCCCTTGAATATATCTAATGAACTGGCCCCAACAGCTTCCTGTGGGAGAGAATCCCACAGGCTCACATCTCTCTGAGTGAAGAAATTCTTCCTCATCTCAGTCCTGAATGGCTTACCCCTTATTCTTAAATTGTGATCTCTAGTTCTGGACTTTCCCACCATCTGGAACATTCTTCCCACATGTAGCCTGTCCAGTCCCATCAGGATTTTATATGTTTCTGAGATTCCCCCCCTCATCCTTCTGAATTCCAGTGAGTATAAGCCCAGTCGATCCAGTCTTTCCTCATATGTCAATCCTGCCATCCCAGAAATCAGTCTGGTGAACCTTCGCTGGACTCCCTCAACAGCAAGAACTTCCAGATGCAAGGCTAGCAGGTCTTTAGCTCTTGGTTTTCTCTCTCATTCCCTTCTTAAACAGAATGTATCAAATTTGGGAAGATTCTCAATCACTGAAATACCAACTATCTCTCTACCAATATCTGCCTCCTTTAACACTTTGGGACGTAGTCCATCAGGTCCTGGGAGTTATCAGCTTTCAGACCCAGTAACTTCTCCAGTGCAATCTTTTTACTGATGCTAATTTCCTTCAGCTGCTCATTCTCCCTAGCCCCCTGGATCTCTAGCTCTGGGAGATTTCTTGCGTTATCCTCAGTGAAAACAGATAACATAATTATTTGACACAAAAATTGCTGTAAAAACTCAACAGGTTAGGCAGCATATGTGGAGTGAAATCAGAGTCAATCAGAGTTTCAGGTCAAGTGAACCTTCCTCAGAATGGGTTCAGTTTTTATGATGTAATTATTTACCTTCTCTGCCATGCCTCTATTCCCCAGCATACATTCTCCTGACTCAGCCTATACTTGACCCATCTCATTTTCAGCAAACATTTATTTTTAGAGTTTACATATCATAGAATCTTTGACTGTCTGTTTTTATTTTGCTAAATTGTATTCATATTCTTTTCTCCCTTTCCTCAATAGGTTTTGATCCTCTTCTATTGTATCTCTGAATCCTCAGATTTGTTAATATTTATGGCAACTTAGTTAAACTTTTCTTTTGATCTGATACAGTCCTGAACTTCCTTTGTTAGTCAAAGGTGTCTGACCCTTTCAAGAATTTGCTCACTTGACATTCAATGGGAATTTGCAATGATTATATTCTTTCTTATTAGCGATGGTCATAGCCTGGCATTTCTGTGGCATGAATATTACTTTGCCACTTGTCAGCCCAAGCCTGGATATTATCCAGATCTTGTTGCATTTGAACATGGACTGCTTCAGTATCTGAGGAGTTGCAAATGGTGCTGAACATTGTGCAATCATCGGCGAACATCCCCACCTCTGACCTTATAGAGTCAGTGTCATAGATTTATAAAGGATGGAAACAGACCCTTTGGTCTAATTTGTCTACGCTAACCAGATATCCCATATAAATCTAGTCCCATTTGGCCCATATCCCTCTAAACCCTTCCTATCCATGTCCCCATCCAGATGCCTTTTAAATGTTGTAATTGTACCAGCCTCCACCACTTCCTCTGGCAGCTCATTCCACACATGCACCACCCTCTGTGTGAAAAAGTTGCCCCTCAGGTCCATTTTAAATCTGTCCCCTCTCACCTTAAACCTATGCCCCTCTAGTTTTGGACTCCCCCCTACCCTGGGGAAAAGACCTTGGCTATTCACCCTATCCATGCCCCTCATGATTTTATAAACCTCTATAAGGTCACCCCTCAGCCTCCGACGCTCCAGGGAAAATAGCCCCAGCCTATCCAGCCTCTCCCTGTAGCTCAAACCCTCCAACCCTGGCAACATCCTTGTAAATCTTTTCTGAACCCTTTCATGATGCTGGGGGGTTATTGATGAAGCAGCTGAAAATGGTTGGGGCTGGGACACCACCCTGAGGAATCCCTGCAGAGATGTCCTGGAACTGAGATGACTGACCTCCAACAGCCACAGCTGTTTTCCTATGTGCTAGGTATGACTTTAACCAGGGGACTGTAACTGATTAAATGTCATACCATCTTTGATAGTATAAGGTAGGGGTGGAAGTTAGATAGACCTTAAGTTTAGGTTAAAAGTTTGGCACAACATCGTGGGCTGAAGGGCCTGTACTGTGCTGCACTGTTCTATGTTCTATGTTCGTTGTTCTATGTTAGCATCAGGTCCAACAGACTATGAGTGACTCATCCAACCTGTATGACTATTGTTAAAAGGAATGAACTGCCCTGATGGAAAGGGGATAGCGAGAGCTACTCTAGGAATGAAGTAGTGACTCCTAATGGAATACAAATTGGAAAACCCTTTTCCAAAAAGGGTAAGCCTTTTTGCTACAGAGATTGGTTTCTGTTGAAATATTTCACCGTCAGAGGCTGAATCGAAGTTAACCTGGTCAGCCCAATGAGGATGTGCAGAAGATTGGGAGAAAGACCATACTTACAGGTAAACACTGACTGGTTTGGAAGTTACACAGCCTGATTTGACAATGTAGGTAGATTTGATTGACGTCACCAACAAACTTAAAAGCTGCAAATGAGAAGCGGCAAATGGACGAGACACCACTTTCCTCCACTTCCACCTCACTTAAAGTGTTTGGACATCTGTAAGAAATTGTACAGTAATTGCTCAAACATATTTAATGTGCAACCTTTTAAATATTACATACAGAATGTGAGATATTAGCACTCGGCACAAAATTGTAGACAGTCGATAACTGCAGTGTCTCAACATTCACGTCCACTTATTTTTCATATCATTGACTGGAATCTTCTACAAACTCAGAGAGCTGATATTCAATCCATTGAGTCTCTGCCAGCTCTTTCAACGTGCAATCCAGTTAATCCCAGGCAGCTTCCTAGTGTCCCTATTTAAATTGAATAATCTTTGATATCATTATCCTACATTTTCTGCCACCTTTGCTGTTTTTCTCATCCTACTCCCAACCCCAGTTGACTGGCAGAATCATCCCACTCAAGTCTATGTCCCTCTTCATGTTGCCTCCCATCCCTTGCTGCTTCTCCTGCCGTTGAACTTGATGTGTCTCTAACTTTGAGTTTGATAAATAAATCTGCAAACAAGGGTTGACCCAGTGATGGTGTCCATCACGATTGTTGTAAAAATCCATCGAGGGTCACTAATGTCCTTTTAGGGAAGGAAGTCTGCAGTCCTTACCTGGTCTGGGCCTACACATGACTCCATACCCACAGCAGCGTGGCTGACTCTAAACTGCCTCTGGAATAGTCATATGCTCATTCCAGGGCAATTAGGGCTGGACAATAAACACTGGCCTCCCTGGAGACACCAGCATCCCATGAACAAATATAAAAACAGCACTGAACGCAAGTGCGCAAGCTGCATTTCCTAAAACTCTGGCAACAATTTGAATGTTTCCTGCCGCTTTAAGACTAGGTCATGGAGGAAGATAGATTGAGACTGAAATGGACAAGCCTGGAAAGCAAAGTGGAGCATCTCAGCAGAACAGAGTGGAAGGGTTTGGAGAGAAAGTTCCTCTGACTAAAGGACTGAGGTGTTGGTGTCATACTCACTGGTTGTTCACAAGGCCCCAGGTTGTCAGTGATGAGGAGTTACTGTCTGGAGTGGTCCAGCAGGTGCCCAGGGTCACCACAAACTGGTTGAGGTCCATGCCTGTGACAGTGATGCCAATGTAAACACGGTCATCCACACTGAGTCGGACTGGGGTCTGAGTAAAGGGCTGCTGATATTCTGGGTCTTGGTACATAATCATCCTGGCTCTGTAAGATCCTTCGCCCGATGGTAGATCTACGTTTACCACACTGTGTGTGCCATGAAAAGGAGAAAAAGAAACATAGTTAGCCGGTTTCCCAACAAATGAGAAAGAGAGGGTAGGTTCACCGGAACAGGAGTAGGCCATTCAGCCCATCGAGCTGCTCCAATGGAGCGAGGCAGATGTTTCCATCACGAACACTGGTGGTCTTTCCTCCAGGAGTTGAAAGATCCCAGGGAATACTTCATTCAGGGAGAAACCTGCTCTTTCAAGTTCAAATCTTTCCAATTACTCACCAGGGAAAGAGTGACGGGGGCGGTGTGGAGGGGGGGGGGGTTGCAGATAAGGGGTGTCGGTGGGGGGGCGGTGCGGGGGTTAGTCATTTGCCTGATTGGGTGTTTGTTGTTTACTTGCCATCCAGATACCCAGCAGGTCACAGGATCTACCCTGGATACACAAACCTCAGTGTCCATCACTAGCTCACATTGTAAAGTCATTGCCCTGTTACCTCCCTGAGCCCCACTCATTCCATCACCGCATATTCTATCCCTGTGTCTGCGTAGGGTTTCCTCTGGGTGCTCTGGTTTCCTCCCTCAGTGCAAAGATGTGCAGGTTAGGATGGATTGGCCATGCTAAATTGTCCCATAGTGCCCAGGGATATGCAGGTTAGGGTGGATTGGCCATGGGAAATTACCCCATAGTGTCCAGGGATGTGCAGATTAGTGTGGATTGGCTGTGCTAAATTGTCTCATAGTGCCCAGGGGTGTGCAGGTTAGGGTGGATTGGCCGTGCTAAATATGGGGATAGGGTGGGATGCTCTTCAGAGGGTCAGTGCTGGACCCGATGGGCTGAATAGCCTCCTCCTGCACTGTTTCTTTCCGAAAGAGAACTATACTGCCCGGTTCAGCTGTGGATTTGAAATACTGGAGGGTTTCCTTACCTTTGTATGACTTCGTCCGCCACAAACAGCGAGATGTTTATGTTTAGAGGATACACACAGGAGAAGTCCAAGGAAATGGTCCGATTGTGCGACACAACCCCATAATCCTCAATGACTGATGCTTGGATGGTGTTGGAGTAAGTAAAGTGTGAGATGTTTACCTAAACATTAAAATACCTTCATGACTCAGTGTGTCACTAAAGTGTCACCACATCTGACAGTCTAAGAATCTGAAGCTAGTGTTGCCCTCGCATCTCAGAGTTCAGGAGTTAGACAACACAATATTCACATCTGTCCCTGATTCTGGAATTCAACCAGGATGGACGGCAAAACAGATGCAATTGTATTAGTAATTGTAATTATGTAATTGTATTAGCAGCCCATTAGACCTATTCGCTAACTACACATTGACTAACAAACATCCAGGTTAGGAACTTTAAACATAGAAACATAGAGGATAGGAGCAGGAGGAGGCCATTCGACCCTTTGAGCCTGCTCTGCCATTCATCACAATCATGGCTGATTGTCCAACTCAATAGCCTAATCCTGCTTTCTCCCCACAACCATTGATCCCATTCGCCCCCAAGTGCTATATCTAGTCACCTCTTGAATACATTCAATGTTTTGGCATTAACTACTTCCTGTGGTAATGAATTCCACAGGCTCACCACTCTCTGGGTGAAGAAATGTCTCCTCATCTCCGTCCTAAATGGTCTACCCTGAATCCTCAGGCCGTGTCCCCTAGTACTGGACACACCCACCATTGGGAACATCCTCCCTGCATCTAGCCTGTCCAGTCCCATCAGGATTATATATGTTTTTGAGATTCTCCCCTCATTCTTCTAAATTCCATCGAGTACAAACCCAGTCAATCTAATTTTTCCTCATCTGTCAGTCCTGCCATCCCGGGAATCAGTCTGGTGAACCTTTGCTGGGCTCCCTCAATAGCAAGAATCCTCAGACTAGGAGACCAAAACTGCACAACGTGCAAAATATTCTTTAAAAAATCTTATGATCCCTGCTGATGGTAATAATAGACAAGTTATATCCCAGAAAGAAACCTGGCTTGATGGACCATTCATTTAACAGCTGCAATTGGTTCATATGGTGGATAGCCATGAAGGAGGAGAGGGAGAGAGAGATTTTTAATTAGCAATAGGTTGAAGGGTTGTGGAGGCTAGGCTATAACGTGGAGTTGAGACCAAGGTGAGATCAGCCATGATCATATTGAATGGTGGAGCAGGCTTGAGGGACTGAATTCCCTCCTCCTGCTCCTATGTTATTGTATCCTTATAAAACCTGAAACTATTTGATCCTTTCAACTGACGTCTGAGTCCTCTACTCTGTAGTCAATATAAATCTAATGACCTTACCGTACTTACTCTGCCTGATCTAAACCCAACAGTATAAATTATTTTTCCCATTTATACCACAGGGGTCTATCCTAGGCACTTTAGTGCAGTTTTTTAGGGGTGGATGTATTTAGGTCACTGTTCCAAATTGACTTTCTGACCTTAACCAAAAACCTTCACCAAACTAAAACTACACCCATCTGTCTCTAGTTTGGAATTCAAATCTAAAAATTTAACACCTATATATGATGCATCATTCATCAAAGTCTCTTTGAGTTGCTCTGCACATACATACCCTGAGCATGGAGCCACACGAGTGTTTGCTGCTATCGAAATCAAAGGTCAATCTTCCATCAGTGACCTGCCCGATACAGCTGGGGTCATTCAAATGGAAATAGTGAGTATGCCAGGCATCATTGAACAACAGGCAGCGGGACAGTGAAATCTCACTGCTGTTCCCATTACACACCAGACTGTAATCTGGAACCAGAACATAATCACCATCAGTAATTTACAAAATTCACCCTGACACTATATTAATACAGTAAGGAGGGACAGGAATGGGCGTTCGCTGGATGGGAGAAAGAGCCTGTTTCACACATTCACATATGGCTTGCAGCTGAGCCTTAGAGTTTATTAACCTGAAGGTCTGGGTTCTTCTAGTGCAGCGGTAATGTCCCTATCTCTGGGACAGGAAGCCCAAGTCTAAATCCAGAAGTGTGTAGTGACATCTCAGAACAGATTAATCAGGAAATATTATCCAGAATGTGTATAACTCAGATACAAACTCAGTCGATCTAGTCTTTTGGTGTCAGAGTTCAGGATCTCTGATTCGATGAGGAGTAACTAAACCTGATGGTTTAGGACCCATCTCTATCTGAACCTAATGCTGAATGTCCTCATTTCATCATTACAGGGGTGGGGGGAGGGCAGCAGGGCCATCCTGATTTCAGCTTCAAATTTAAGCGCAGAAAATGTGGAGGGGAAACAGTTAGATGTGACTGAGAATAGGTTAATTCTTCAGCTGTCTTTGAGTTCGCAATCAGCGAGTGGGCATAGTCACCAGGGTGTAGCCAGGACTGTCGGAGATGCATTTGCTGGTTAAAACAAGCTGGACCTCCTAGAATAGAATAGGCTCCCTAATCAGGCTCCACAGAGACCTGTATCCCATCACCGAGTCAGCATTTATTTACACATCAACAGTTCTTGACTACAATGCTGCCTCATTCAGAGGCAGGCATCAGTGTGTTGGAATCTCTGACACTCACCCTTGTGATACATTTCAGCCAGGGCTCCCTGATTAGGGAGCCTATTCTATTCTAGGAGGCCCAGCTTGTTACAATCACTGCACTGGTCACACAAACAAAAGGGTACATAAAATACAGACCGCGCTGGAGAAACTCAGAGGGGCTGGCGGTTCTGAACTCAGTCATAAACTCTGTTTCTCTCTTTCTCTCTATACAGATGCTGCTAGACCTGCTGAGGTGCTCCAACTTTCTCTGTGTTTGTTTCAGATTTCCAGCCTCTGCAGGATTTTGCTCATACAAGAGCTATGGAAAGGTTGACCGCAACCCATATGTGAGCTGTGAAGTTTGGGAGTGCTAAAGTGATTTGAAAGTAGTGGTAATGTCCCAGGCAGGTTAGATTGACCATCCTGATTACTGTGTCCTACTCACCGTAGTTCCTATCTGGCAGGTTACCAGTGATATCATTACAGAAGCATCCAAAAACCCCTCTCTGCTCTCCACACCACTCTTCGGCTGTGCATGACTCTCTCTCACAAGGGGACTGTAATGCTGGTGGTCAAAACAGTACACACTGTTACAATTCCATCCATCCCGCGTCAAGCTCATTCCAACAATTCCGTCAGGAGGCACTGGTCCCAGTGTGGGATAAACATCAAGATGAATTGGAACCATATGATTGTTACCAACCCCGACAAGTCAGCAAGAGATTTACAGAATCACTACAGCAAGAAGGAGGAGGTTCTGCCCATCACCTTGGTGCTGGCTCACTGAATGACCATCTCGCTCAGTGTCATTCTCCCCATTCTCCTACAGCTTCTCCCTAAGGGACAACTTTTTCACACAGAGGGTGGTGCGTGTATGGAAGGAGCTGCCAGAGGAAGTGGTGGAGGCTGGTACAGTTACAACATTTAAAAGGCATCTGGATGGGGACATGGATAGGAAGGGTTTAGAGGGATATGGGCCAAATGCTGGCAAATGGGGCGAGATTTATTTAGGATATCCAGTTGGCATGGACGAGTTGGGCTGAAGGGCCTGTTTCCATGCTGTACGAATCTATGATTCTGAATAAGCAAATAATCCCCTTTTGAACGTGTGAATTGAGTCGGTCTCTGTCTGTCTGCCCCTTCTACTGACTGTAGGAGAAAGCTGTTCCTTAAATCACTGTTGTTTCTTTTTACCAATTACTCCCCTCGTTCTTGTTCCTTTCACAATTGGGAACAGCTTCTCCCCCTCTACTCTGTCCAGCCCTGGCTCGGGATTTTGAAAACCTCCAACAGATCTCCGTCTCAGCCACTTTCTGTCCATTGAGAACGATCCAAACTTCTCCAATCGATCCTCATAACTGATATTTTTAATTTCCTGGATCATTCTCACCAATCAGTCCTGCACTCTGTCCAGAATGTTCCCATCTTTCCTACTTCAGCTGAGGTCTAACAAGGCTCTTGAACAAGTTCACCATCACCTCCCCTGCTCCTGTATCCCGTGCCCCTGTTAATAAAGCTGAGGGCACTGTATGCTTTATTCACTACTGTCTCCCCCTTCAATGATCTGTGCTCATCTACCCCCAGCTCCCTCTGCTCCTGCCTCACCACTTTTTAGAATTGCACCCACAATTGTCTTTAAATGTTTTTCCAAAGTGTATCCCTCACACTTCTCTGCATTAAATATCACCTGCCACCACTCCACCCACTCCACTGACTTTTCAGTGTCCTTTCGGAGTTCCGCACTATCCTCCTCACAGTTCACACAATTCTGTCAAGTATCATTCTATCTGTAAATTTTCAAATTGTCTCCTGCACAGCAGGATCCAGATCATTAATGTATCTCAGGAAAAGCGAGAGTCCCAATACTGACCCCTGGAGAACTCCATGACAAACACTCCTCCAGCCAGACAAATATCCATTGACCAATATGCTGTTTTGTATCCCTCAGCTTATTTCATAAGCACTTTGCTCCTGTCCCTTTTACACCATGACCTACCACTTTGCTCATAAGTCTGTTGTGTCACGATGGATCAAACACCTTCTGCAAGTCCACGCACACCACATCAACAACATTGCCCTCATTGACCCTCTCTTGTTAGCTCTTTAAAGACTCTAGCAAATCAATCCAACCCCATTTCCCCTCAACAAATCATTTTATCATAGAATCCCTACGGTGTGGAAACAGGCCTTTTGGCCCAACAAGTCCACACCAAGCCTTGGATCGTCCTACCCAGACCCATCCCCCTATAACCCACCTAATCTACACATCCCTCAGCACTATGGGCAATTTAGCATGGCCAATCCACCCTAACCTGCACATCTTTGGACTGTGTGAGGAAACTGGAGCACCCGGAGGAAACCTACGCAGACACAGGGAGAATATGCAAACTCCCCACAGACAGTCGCCCGAGGGTGGAATTGAACCCGGGTCCCTGGCGCTGTGAGGCAGCAGTGCTAAACACTGAGCCACCATGCTGCCCTAAATCCTTTTGGCTTCTTTTAATTGGCTCGCATTTGTTCACATGACTATTAACGTTGTATCAAAGATCTGCTTCTAAAAGCTTCCCCACCAAAACTAAACTGACTGGCCTGTAGTTGCTGGTCTTTATCCTCAAAAAATGTTTTTGAAACAAGGCTGTAATGTTCCCCAGCAACACCCCTGGGTCCAGGGGAAACTGAAAGGTCATGGTCCATGCTGCTGTATTTACACTGTCACTTCTGTCACAATCCTTGGATGAATCTCATCCAGTTCTTGTCAATATCAAGTACCAATAATCCATCCAATGCTTTCACCTTTTCAATTTTGATCCCATGTAGAGACTGGGCTCTGTATTCTGTCACCAGGTCCTGTATAGCAACTAGCTCCTTACAAAAGTGAGCTGATGCATTTTGGAAGGTCAAGTACAGGTGGAAATTATACAGTGAATGGCAGAACCCTTAGGAGTATTGATATGCAGAGGGATCTGGGTGTGCAGGTAGACAAGGTAGTAAAAAAGGCTTATGGTATGCTTGCCTTCATAAGAAGGGGCATTGAGTATAAAGTTAGAGAAGTTATGCTGCGGCTTTATAGAACTTTAGTTAGGCCACACTTGGAATATTGCGTACAGTTCTGGTCACCACACGAGCAGAAGGATGTGGATGCCTAGGCAAGGCTACAGAAAAGGTTTACTACGATGTTGCCTGGTATAGGGGATTTTAGCTATGAAGGAAAGTAAGATAGACTGGGTTTGTTTTCACTGGAACACAGGAGGTTGAGGGGCAACCAGATAGAAGTTTATAAGATTGTGAATGTTATGGACGGCATGGGAAGTTTGAGGCTTTTTCCCAGGGTGGAGGGGTCAGTTCCTTGGGGACACAAGTTCAACATGCAGGTGGGGAAAGTTTAAAAGGGATATACAAGGCAGGTTTTTCACACAAAGGGTGGTGAGTGCCTGGGACGCGCTGCCAGAGAAGATGGTGGAAGCAGACACAATAGCAGCGTTCAGGAAACACCTGGACAAAAACATGAATAGGAAGTGAATAGAGGGATACGGATCCTGTAAGTGAAGACAGTTTTAGAATGGAAGGGAAAAATGTGTCAGCACAGGCTTGGAGGGCTAAAGGGCCTGTTCCTCTATTGTATTCTTCTTTGTTCCTTGGCAAAGACAGATGCCAAGTATTCCTTTCATACCTCGACCTCTTACTGCTTTGTGTAAACCTCCTTTTGGGCCCTACTCCCCTCTGATCACTCTTTTATTTTCTACATCATCCACAGAAGATTCTCCTTCATCTTCACCATCAGTTTCTATTCATAAACCCTCTTTGCTCTTGTATTTGCTTTCTCACAGAGATTCCAGCTGCTCAAATTCTGAAATCTCAATCTCATGTTACTGCAGATAAAGACATTTCCTGCAATCAAGGACATGGGAAACAACCTGGAATTCCCAGATAATGGAGAACATGTAATCTTGAGGTTGTAGCAGCCCTGATAATTCCTTATCTATTTATTCACCATGCTATTTCTAAAACAACACCTGAGCAAAGTTAGTAAGCCTTTTAGTCATGAATAAAACCTTATCCGTACTGATAAATTTGACCAATATTTAACAGGCCTTACTAGCTACAGTAAGATATACTTAATGCTCTCCTGGCACTTTATGCAATGAACTCACATGAACACAAATTGAGGTTCAAGAACATAGAACATAGAACATAGAACATAGAACATAGAACATAGAAC